CCAGCGGCCTGCCGGTGCGCGGCGGTGGGCCGGGGCAGGCAGAGCTGCCGGCACGGCAGCTCCTGCCCGGGCTCAGCTCATCGCAGCTAATGGGATTGCCTGTGACCCAGCAAAGCTCCTTAGCTCCTGCTTCCTCCCTCCATCCACTTTCCCTCCCGGCACATGCCCGGGGGCTCGCTGGACCCGCATCCCACCCTGCTCCCTCAGCCCCATACCCAGGTACTTGGCCCGCTCCTCGCGCCGCTCCTTCGCCTGCTTGTGCCTCGCCTGGGCTTTCTGGGCATCTGCAGGGGGGAGATACCGTCAGACCAGCAACCGGCCCCCAGCGCCAGTGCCATGCCAGCACCAGCCGGGCATGGAGGCATCGAGAAGTGCCCATGGGGTGTCAGCATGCCCAGAGCACCCCTGCCCACCCCAGGCACCCACCTTGCTTGGGCCTGGGGCTGGCAGCAGGAGCCGGTGAGGCTGTGGCCGGGGTGGTGCGGTCACTCTGGGGGGGCACATCCTTTGAGGGCCCAGCTGCGCCGCCCAGGGGGCTCTTGGCATCAGAGAGGGCCCCTTCGCTGGTAGCCGGGGCCAAGGGATCGCTCCCATGGGGCAGCATCTCTGCCGGGCAAGGGGCAGCAGCAGCAGGGATGGGGACCGGCTGGCCGGCAGCGTGGGGAGATGCCTCTTCTTTGGGGTGCTCCATCACAGGAGGCCGGAGGGGCCCGGGGGGAGACCTGTCACACCATGGGGGGTCGCTCTCTGTCGAGGGAGCCACGGCTGTAGGGATGGGGGAGACGGGCTGTCCTGATGGCGTCATGGTGGGAGGGACAGGTCGGTCACGCTGTGGGGTGCTGCTCTCGGAGGGAGGCATCATTGCTGGGGGCTCGGGGCAGATGGGCTGCCTCGAGGGGGTCACGGCTGCAGGGACGGGCAAGACGGTCTTTTCAGAAGGGGTGACTGCTGGAGGGATGGGCGAGATGGGCTGTCCGGAGGGGGTGACGGCTGGAGGGACGGGTCGGTCCCGCTGCAGAGCATCCCCAGGCGAGGGGGGTGGTGAGGTAGCAGGGGGCACACTGTCTCCCATCAGAGATGGTGGCTTTCCTGCAACATCGGCAGAGCAGAACAGATGGTCACCCAGTGGGGGAGCCTGGGGCAGTCCCCCCCAAATACAGACCTCAAGAGCAAGGCTGTCCCTGGCTGCAGGGGCTGGGGACGGTCCCCCCGGGGAAGGCAGTGGGACACGCACCCAAGCCTTGCTGCTGCCCCCATCTTAGGGGGTGCCCACGCCGCCCCACGCTGGGTGCCAGGCGCCGGGTGCACAATGCATAGAGGGACCGACCAGGGTTCTGCCAGGCACCACCACCACAAAGCCGCCCTTCATCCCCCCAGCAGCTGCCGCCCTGGCCCCACCGTGGGGGGGATGCGGGGACAGAGACCCCACGCAGGCACGGGGACCCACGCGCTTCCCCGCCGCTCTCCCCGGAGGATGCGGGGCCGCTTCCGCCAGCACTCACAGCACGGCCGGAGGCAGGATGGGCGCGGGCCCCGCGGCCTGACGTCACCGCTCCAGCCCATGTCCCCCAGCGCCATGCAGTGCTGCGGCTGAGCCCGCGCACAGCCATGAACTCATGGCCCAGGAATGCACACAAGGCCACCGCCACCGCCGCCAGAAAACAGCCCCCTCCCCACGTGGGGCCCGGCCGCTCGGTGCCCCACCGTGGGGCAGGCGGGGGGAACGGTGCCTGCTCTGTGCTCCCCGAGGGAAGCAGCCCAGGGAATTGCCCCCTGTCCCGGCCAGCCCAAGGGGAGCCCAGCAGCTGGGGACCCCGGGGGAGCCCACTGCATGCACTGGCGCTGGGGACAGAGACATGATGCCAGCCACTGCGCAAAGCCACAGCATGTGGCCTCTGCACAGGGTGGATGTGCCGGGACTGCCCATGGCGACCAGCAGCGGTGATCCCCCCCACTCCGCTTAACCAGCCCTTTGCAAACACACCTTTGGGGCGCATGCCGGGATCACAGCCCCGGCCCCCACGCAGCAGGCAGCACCCTCGCTCCTGCCCAGGAGCGATGACCAACCCGCCCCGGGGCCGTGGGCACCCAGCTCCAGCACCATGGGCGCCACTGCAGCACATGGCCCCAGCTCCGGTGGCGTGGGATGGCAGGGACACCGGTGACTGGCTCCTGTCGCCCCCAGCGAGCGGTTCTCACCACAGGGAGATATCATGCGCTGGGCTCGGCCGTGTTTGCAGAGCTCTCCACAATCTTCGGTGAGGGGCAAAGTGTGGGCTCCGCAAACACGGGCCGGCGCCGCTCCTCCACCCCACGCCGGAGCCCGCCCATGGAAGGCGCCACCAGCCCCCCCTGCGGTGCAGGCATGGGTGCACCCCAGGTCCCATGGTCCCCCAGCACCCACACCAGGGCACAGCACCCACAGCAGCACTCACCTGCCCAGGGAGGGGCTGGGGGTCCTGCTGCAGACCCCAGCGGGCTGGGGCTCGTGCCAGCAGGGTTCAACCACCCCAGACTCCGCAGGGGACACAGCCAGCCCCGGCCCCCCCGCAGACCCACGCAGCCTTCCGGGTATTTTCTGCCGCAGGAAGCCAGCCCATCCCCTGGCCCCGATCCTGCACATCCCACATCCCCATCGCTGCGCCCCGCGAGGCAGCCATAAGTCTGATGCGTGGCTGGGGAAGTGCCGGAGCTGCAGCTGAGGGCTCCCCTGCCCCGTCCCCCGCAGGGCTGCCCCAGTTTGGCACCTACAGGGTGGGGGGCTTGGCAGCCCCCAGGCACCAGCTCTGAGGACAATACCCACGGTAGCACCACGTGTGTCCTGCAGGGCCACCAGCCGATGCCAGGCCAGGCTGATGCCCCCAAGCAGATGGAAATACCTTCCGGAGCCCCAGATGTGCTGGGAGCAGTGTGGGTGCCTCCTGCCACCCTGCACCACCAGGCATGGAGCCCTGGGCACAGCCCTGGGCAGGATCCGTCCTGCCCCACTGGCTGGAGGGACAGCAGCACCTGTGGCCAGGGCAGGGCTACCGGGCACGGCCAAAACCCCCGCACGCGGCTGGGGCCAGGCCTGCCGCCATCTGTCCCTGTCGCTGCTCCAACACGGCAGCTGCCCTGAAACCCAACGCTGCCTGCACCCAGGCGGCGCGGGCTTCCCCTCTCCCCTAGCCGGGGCATTCCGCAGGGGATTAGCTCCCTGGCCCCCCAGACACACAGGCACGGCTCCCCTGCAGCCCCCAGCCCAGGCAGGCCTGCGTGGCACTGGCCTCACTGCTGGCACTGCGACGGCACTGTGCCCAGCCATGGGCCACAGCCGCAAGGCGAGGTGCTGCCCCTTGGCACTGCATCACCCAGCCCATCCCGGCTCCTCCTGTGGGTCCATGTGGCACCAGTGCCCCTGCCACTGAGCACCACCGGCACCTCCAGCCTGGCACTGACCCGTGCGGTGCTGCTCCGTGGCCAGCACATGGCTGGGGATGCTCAGTCAGGCAGAGGCAAATTCCCGGGGCCGTGAAGCGAGAGCACATCGAGGCCCCGAGGGGCGCTCCGGTCGGAAGGCGAGCAACCCTCGTTAACCGTCCGCCGCGCATCCCCACAGGGTGCTTCCCAGGAGGGCGGGGGGGCACCCGCCTGCTTTAACCTCAGCTCCCCTCATCTGCCCTATCGTCATGTTCCCGCTCTGCAGCACGGCCAGGGCCCACCACGGGCTGCTCCACGTGCAGTACCTGCCCAGGGGCGGTGGACCCCGGCCACTCTGGCCATTCCACAAGTCCCTGCGATGCCCAGGGACAAGGTCCCGAGGTGAACCTCAGCCCCGAGAGCCACCACTGGCTCTGCAGGGCTCCCTGCAGCCCCTGGGGACACCCACATGCCCAGCACGCCCTCGGGCCCTTCCCAGTGCGGCTGGTTTCCAGCTGCCCCCCCCAGGCCTTGATAGCAGCCCCATAGCTGTGCCAGTGAAGAGAGAAGGATGGGTCCCCGGGGCCTGTCCTCATCGCCAGCAGGTCCTGGTGCTGAGCAGGGAGGCAGCCGTGGCCCCAGGGCCAGGATTGCTTTGCAGGTGCTGGTGTCCAGCAGGGAGAGTGGCTGCCCGAGGCCACTGGAATGCCGTGGGGTGCACAGGGGTGCTCAAAGCCCCGGGGGTGCTCGGAGCCCTGGTGCTGCCCCCCGATCCCACCCCGCCTTGCCACGTCTCAGATGTGCTTCAGAGCCCAGCCCTGCCCCGTCCCACCCAGCTCCTGGGATTCCCCTGTGCTGCAGCACCTCTCACACCTGGATGACAGGGACAGTGAGTGAGCAAGCTTCCCCGGCACATCCCTGGCACATCCCAGCCGTGGGCACAGCACTGACGCACACCCTCGACCCCAGCTCACATGCATGGGCAGGGAGACACAGGCAATGCACAGAACAAGCACCAGCAGTCCCACACCATAGGGGTGGCCAGTGCCACCCTTGCAGCCACCGATGGCAATGACACCCCGTCCCTCGTGGGTGGGTCCTGGGGTGCTGCTGCCCACAGCCACCCACACCCTGGCCCCCGGCAGCACGGGTGCTGTAGCCTGAGGCTGGCTCCTCTCCCCGCCAGCTCAGAGCCAGCAAAATGCAGCCGGCAGCGCCAGGGCAGGGCAGGTCAGGCATCGTCCCACGGTGCCCCACATGCTGCCTGCAGCCCCGCTTCAGGGATGGGCCTCCAGGGCCAGGCAGGAGCAGGGCAGGAGGGACACAGGCAGCAGGGACTCAGGCAGCAGGGCAGGAGGGATGGTGCAGCTGGATGCCCACAGTGGGTGCCAGGCAGGAGGAAGGGGCACGGCAGGGCATTGACCACCCGGCTGCAGCCACCACGCTGTCTTTGTACCCGCTCCTGGGAGGGCTGGTTTGGGAGGGGGCTGCACCCGTTGCCCAGCTTCCCCAGCACAGAGGACCAGCCCCGCTTCCCAGGGTCCGTACCCCCCGAGGCACCGGGACGAGGGGGCATGGGGGCAGCCATGGGGGAACTGCGCCAGCCCCCGGCAGAGGCTGCCGAGCTCCTGCGGCTCTGCACCCAGCCGGCGGTGACGTGCCAAGCCAGAGAGAAACAAGGGGAACTTGGGAGACGGGATCTCGTGGCCAGAGCGGGGCCAGAGCTGGGGGGTTTCCAGGGTTTAAAATACACACGGAGGAAAGAGCCTGAGCTGCTGCTGCGCCCCGGCACCCTCACGGCAAACTTTCCGTTTGGCTGCGGTCACGGCACAGCCCCCAACAGATCGAGGGCAGGGGCAGGCAGCACCTGCCTGCCATCCATCTGGGCAGCGCCGGCAGCAGTGACAGGAGGTGCCCTCGTCCTTGGGGCGACCCGCATGGAGCTGCCAACGCCGAGGGCAGGCAGCCCAGCTGCGCTCCCAAAAACCTGTCTGCTGGCATCACGCTGGGAAAACAGAAACCTGGCTCGAAGGCAGGACACGGGGCTCCGCGCCTGCTGGGACCTGGCCTCTCAGGGAGCAGGTGCCCAGCACCTCCGAAAAACGGGTCCTGAGCCTCACAACGCGGATGCGGGCACCTACTGGGGCTGGGGCCATGCAGGATCCAGCTCCACTCCCAGCAGGCTGCCTGGGCTGCTGCCTGTCCCTGCTCAGAGCCCTCCGACAAGCGAGAGCTGCGCTAACTATTTTGGACATGGCACCACGGGACTGTCACATCACCGCTCCGCACGTCGCATCACGTTGCTCTGACGGTTTCGCAGCAGCGGCTCTGCTGGCGTCCCCGCGCTGGGAGAGCTACCGAGCTGCCTGCTCCCAAACACAGCCGCTGGCTGGCAACCAGCTCGCCCTGCACCCTCCCTCTCCACCATGCCAGAGGGAGAAGGGCTGGAGAAATCAGGGTGCACCCCGATAAGAACGAACCCCTGCCTGCTCCCTGCCCCAGTTCTCACCCCTCTGCCTGCCCACAGGGCAGCATCCCACTTGGGCGGCTCTGTGGGGCCGCATCCTGCCCCGTCTGCCCTCTGTGAGCTCCTGCCCCCCAGCACCACCGGCTGCCCCACACCGCGGCGGGTCCCAGTCCCTGGAGTGCAACCCCAGCCCCGCTGGCAGCCAGGACATGGCATGCTGGGGGGAGCCGAGGGCTCCGACTTGTGCTGGGCGGTGAGACAGGGAGCAGCCTGGCTGCCTGGCCACGCGGGTCGCCCAAACGAGAAGGATCAGGGACGCTCCCCGGAGCGGGATGTGCTGCAGAGCCACTGACGCTCCCCAGCGCCGCCGCCATCCTCCTCCGCTCGCAGCAGAGCAGCAAGTGCCTCCCCACACCGGGGAATTGAACCGCCCAGGCGGGCACGGGGGGCCCGGCCGGCCGCAGGAGAGGCCAGCGTGGCCAGGAGCAGCCATCCCCCTCCCCAGGCAGCGACAGCATCGAGAGGGAAGGAAAGGCCGAGCCGGCTGCACGCCGGGGCAGGCGGGAAGGCTGCGGAGGCGGCAAGCGGGACACAGACAATATGTCTGCAGCGCAGGACGCGCTGTTTGGGCAGCACGGCCGGGGATCCGCGGCCGGTTTGTTCGAGAGCCACCAATAAAGGGCGAGCGGCATGTCGGCATTGCTGGGAGCCGGCAGCGATCCCTCCCTGCCTGCGAGGGCCCGGGCGGCCGTGGCTGATGAATCACGGCGCGGCGGCGGGCACCGGGGACGAGGGGGAGGGGAGCTGCCTCTCCTCTTCCTCCATCGGTGGGAAGCAGCTCCGCCACGGAGCCCTGCTTAGTCACAGCCCCACGCCGAGAGCGAGCAGCCCAGCGGGGCCAAAGAGCGCTTGGCTGGAGCCCTGCAGTGAAGAGCCAAAACAAATCCTCGCCCCGAGACTCAGCCCCGCCGGCCGCCGCCCTCCCCAGTTTGCCGAGTCGAGGGCCGGCGGCAGAGTTCATCCTGGGGCAGCACCGCGATCAGCCTGGCTGGGACCCCAAGTTCCCATGGCAGGGGAAAGCGCAACGCCCGCATCCCTCAACTCGCCAGCAGCAGCCTCTGCCCTGGGCAGTGCCAGCCACCTCTGCTTGCCCCCAGCCGGGGCGCCAGAGCCAGGTGGCAGGCTGCAGGACGGGCCGTGGCGGTGACCCCGGCACAACCGGGGTGCGGACCCTAGGGCCACCCACACCCCACAGCAGGAGCAGGGCTGTCCTGGCAGGCTGGCACCCACCGCCACGCCGCAGAGCAGCCTGCCCGGGCAGGGCGTCGGGCCGCCCGCACCGCATGCGGCGGCC